ATTCTACTACCAACTAATGTTCTTCTAACTTTTACTGTATTCTACTACCAACTAATGTTCTTCTAACTTTTACTGTATTCTACTACCAACTAATGTTCTTCTAACTTTTACTGTATTCTACTACCAACTAATGTTCTTCTAACTTTTACTGTATTCTACTACCAACTAATGTTCTTCTAACTTTTACTGTATTCTACTAACTAATGTTCTTCTAGCTTTTACTGTGAATGGCTATATAAATATACCTTAACAAGACTGACACTCGTATTAAAAGTCTTACCTCGTCCACTTCTTCCTACAAATCTCAGATCGTTGAACTTCGCTACTTGATTCTTCATAATAGCGGTGGCGTTTCGCAGCTCAGCGCAAAAATTGTCGTCGTTTCCAGCCCGAATCGTCACAACAGTCCCGTCGGTGATGTCCGCCAGCGCAACCACCTTGAAAGCCACGGGTAGGGTTTTGTTGGAACGCCAGTGTGACGGTAACACCGAGCACACCAAGTTAGGACTACCAGTTCGCATGAGTTCCCCCGAATGTTCGCTGAGAACCTCGAGCATGGGGCGTTCTCCAGGAAAAGTCAAGTCGTTCATGATGCTGAGTGGCGCGGCCGGAGAGCCGAGATGATCTGCGGGCAAGTGCATGAGGTTACGGGTAGTGTCTTACTGACGACGAGCAGCCTCGAGACGTGCACGTGTGAGAGGCGCGAGTAAGGTTGATTGCGGTTTACATGGGATGACGGTGTGCAACCAGTACTCAAGCTAACACGCAAACCTTCCTAGAATACCGGCCTCGAAGACGACTCGCAACTGACAGCGCCCTCTGTCGGTAACTAATTCAACTCACTGTCATCAAAGTCTCCCGAACTACATAAGTAGCATTATAAAATTGATAATGCTAAAATATTTTTAATGATTATGAGGTAGTTAAAAGAGAGAGAAATTAACCGTTAATGCGCAGATTACACAATAGATGGAACCTTAGAATAATGAATATATATATATAATTTCACGACAGTAAATGTAGCAATCTGTTTAGAAATAAATATTATTCATACAGTCTTACGATAAAAGTAAAAATATATATTTGTTTTGTTTTGTTTTCCTCTATCCTTGAGGGATCGAATAAGAAAATAAAGATCGTCTATCGTTCAAGTAGGCTTGAGAGTTTTTTGTCAAAATTTTGCGCGAACCTATTCGAAGGCTATCTTCGCTGGCCGTCCCTAATTTCCAAGTACTAGACTAGATTAGAGAGAAGCCACTCCTGGGTTACTCTTCTACCAACGAATAGTGGGATTGACCGTCACATTATAAGCCCCCCCCCCTCGGTTTTAAGAGCGAGCATTTTCGGTGAGGGGATTCTTAATCGAGTGCCCTAATCATCGGGCCTACTTTTCTTGGAACTGGCAAAGGAGTTGTTCATGTTATCTGTCACAAATCATTAAGGTCAATGATCAACAGGTCGGTCATGCTACTGACCAGTGTTCAGTAGCCTATGAAATACGTTCATATTCTGCCCTCTTTATTCAGTTGGATACATCTGTCATTTGTTATCAGTACAATACACTCAGAAAGTTACATCTCATTTTAAACCACTACATAATATCTTTATGTTAAACTAGGGTCTGGGCTACGGATCGGAAGATCCACGGTTCAAACCGTAACTTCAGCTCTGGACCAGTTATAAGCCAATTCGGTTCTGGAAACCGAACTAAGCTCTTGCGGCGACTGGTACTGTCGACTTACTGCCCCCTCCCTCCCTCCTCACCTGGTCAATAGGGAAGGCCATACTTGAACCCTCTGACCAGGCCGTTTAATTAAATAGTTGTTGCTCAGGTTGAAAATACTAATAATCTCGAAGTCATACAGAAACATTTTCTTGTATAACTCCGCTTTAGATAAGACGAAAGATTGTTTTTGATTTTTTTAGCGCAAAGCTAAACGATGGACTATATACGCTCCGTCCACTAGGAGGAATCGAGCACCAGATATGAGAGTTGTAAGTCTTGTACTTACCACTGACCAACAGGAAGGACTAGAACAGAAGAGAAAGTATTAGAGTTATAAATATATTCAGCCATAATTTTTTGGGGGGACGAATACATACTACTGAAAAGTAGTTACATCAAAAAGCCATGTTACAAGAAACTGTTGTTATTAATGCGCGAAGTTAATACATAATGTAAATAGCTCATGAAGAAAAAAAAAACAACTTAACATGGCAGGAATATTGTTTGAATTTGTTTGTAATTAAGCACAAAGCTACACAATGGGCTATCTGTGCTCTGCCCACCACGGGTATCGAAACCCGGATTCTAGCGTTGTTATTCCGCAGACATATCGCTGTGCCACTGGGGGGGGGGGCTATCGTTTGAAGGAATGGAAAACAACGTAATATTTCCTGCTCTTCCCGACGCGTGAAAATTGTTTCGAATTGTGGTTGTTGTTTTTTTTCCTTTCGCGGATTTATATCTTACAATGGTGTTAATTGGCTAGTGGTTTCATTCCGCTTGAAAATGTAGTGCAGCGACGGACACGAATCATGACCAAAAAAACAACAACGTGTATTTAAGGATGTTAAAACTGTGATTTACAAAGATGAAACCATTGAGGGATAGAGCTCATGAATCCTTACAAACTTTAATACACACACACATTTCTGGTATTTATTATTTTTTAAACCAGAGTCATTGTTTGTCTGCTTGTTTGTTTGTTGTTAGGCACAAAGCTACACAATGGGATGGCTGTGCTATGCCCACCACGGGTATCGAAACCTTATTTTTAGCGTTATAAGCCTTCACAATGGGATAGCTGTGCTATGCCCACCACGGGTATCGAAACCCTATTTTTAGCGTTATAAGCCATCAGACTTACCACTGGGGGCAGGTCATTGACAAAGACAATACACGTTGATTTTTAGTGTTAATTATATAAGTTCGTTGATGGTTGTTCATTCGGCTAAAGATAACGATTCTGTCTGGTTAGATGTATGCGTTGTTTGGGGTTTTTATTTATATAAATATGAAAGCCTTGCGAATCACAAGTTTTGTTTCGAATCAAATTAAGTTTTAAATCCAATATAGAATGGTTTATTTATTTCTACACACAATTGGTAATAAGTATTACAGTAATTATTTCTAACAACAAAAGATATCACGTAGTTACATCATCTGAAAGAAGAATGGAAAAATAGTGTTCTTAACAAGGAAATAGGTTCCGGTGTATATAGACTTAACAAGGAAATAGGTTCCGGTATATATAGACTTAACAAGGAAATAGGTTCCGGTATATATAGACTTAACAAGGAAATAGGTTCCGGTATATATAGACTTAACAAGGAAATAGGTTCCGGTATATATAGACTGAATTAAAAGTTAAATTCGGAAGTTTACCGGATGTGAAGTAGATTTGAAAATATCCAATCAGAGCCCATCTAACGAATCGAATCGAATCAAAAATAAATATATATAAACAAATAAATGTCATAAATACAACGCCCAATTTCGCATGCTGCCTTTCTTTTCTTGCAATCGAACGTTTTCCAGCCCTCCGTCGTCTGAAAATTAGAAGTGAGAACGTGTGTTTGTAGCACGTGCACACACACGAGTTGTGCCGGTAATTACCTCTTCCCACTAATGACAGTTAAAACAACCACCGTGTGTGGGACGCCATTAGCTACAGCTAAATGATGTAATAATGAATGCCGTTCCGTGGTCAACATGCAGGAGACAGTTCAGATCGAGGCTGCTCTTGATTTATTATTTTTTTTTGGAAACGTTGTTGCTCACAGCCTACTATTGTCTGTCTATCTATCTATCTATCTATCGGTGAATACTAATAAATAGTAGAATTCTGGCGAAACCTTATGATACTTAACTTATATTTTCATTAGTAGGCGTTTTGATAACTTAAACACGACTTCGCACGTGCCTCGTTTTCAAGTTTTGTAAAATAATGTATCTTTTGTTTTTTTAATTAAATCTGGTATTTTAATGTTTGAAGATCCTGGAATACATGTTAATGATTACGTACTGTATCTGACTCGCGTGTGTCAAGCAGATGTAAACGTTTAAAACGACAGACACTTGACATTAGTTAAACAACTTAGAGGTGAGATAACACCTCAAGAGGGGGGGGGGGAATCGATTAATTAGTACTTTCAGGGGGGGACAATTAATTATTACTTTTAGGGAATGAGATTAATTAGTATTTTCTGTGGGGGACAATTAATTATTACTTTTAGGGAATGGGATTAATTGGTATTTTCTGTGGGGACAATTAATTATTACTTTTAGGGAATGAGATTAATTAGTATTTTCTGTGGGGACAATTAATTAGCACCTTGTGGGGTGAAATTAATTAGTATTTTTTTTGGGGGGGGCGATTACTTAGCACTTTTATGGAGTGAGATTAATAAGCAACTGGGGCGATTAATTAGCACTTTAAGAAATGCGTTTAATTTTCACCAGGTTTTTAAAAGTTGAAAATATTAGGGATTTTAGGGAATGATTAAGAAAGAAAAGAACTCCATCCATCCTCATCTTTACGTCTCCTTCTATGTATATATACACCAATTTTCACAACATTGGGGTCTTGTACCTTATCTTTACGTCTCCTTCTATGTATATATACACCAATTTTCACAACATTGCGTCTTGTACCTTGTGATAGAAATATCAGTTCTGTTTCATCTATCCCTATACGTACTGCAGTCAGTGTAATAATTACAGCCAAAGTTTCATTGTCCACTAGAACACTGTTCGGTTCAAGGTTGTCGATGTCTTGTACCAATGGTCAAGATGGTTGGTGTTCAATCCGAACTTGTAGCACTGGTTAAGAAGGTTAGATTTCAGCTGAAACTTGGTTGGTATTCAATCCGAACTTGTAGCACTGGTCAAGAAGGTTAAAGTTCAGCTGAAACTTGGTTGGAATTCAATCCGAACTTGTAGCACTGGTTAAGAAGGTTAGATTTCAGCTGAAACTTGGTTGGAATTCAATCCGAACTTGTAGCACTGGTCAAGAAGGTTACATTCCACCTGAAACTTGGTTGGTATTCAATCCGAACTTGTAGCACTGGTCAAGAAGGTTACATTCCACCTGAAACTTGGTTGGTATTCAATCCGAACTTCTAGCACTGGTCAAGAAGGTTAGATTTCAGCTGAAACTTGGTTAGTATTCAATCCGAACTTGTAGCACTGGGCAAGAAGGTTTCATTCCACCTGAAACTTGGTTGGTATTCAATCCGAACTTGTAGCACTGGTCAAGAAGGTTAGATTTCACCTGAAACTTGGTTGGTATTCAATCCGAACTTGTAGCACTGGTCAAGAAGGTTAGAAATGTGCTATTAAAAGAGTTCTATTAATTTTATGAATTAGACAACGCTTTAAGCCTATTTTATTCGTCTTAGCCATTACTCGATCCTACTTAAAATAAAGAATGTTCTGGAAACATAATCATTTTCAACATTCGCTGTCTTTTTTACATTTCTTTCTCTTTTTTATCGTTGGAAGACGTTTGAGTTAATAGGGTTATCAAGGCGAGTAAGTCTGAGTTAATAGGGTTATCAAGGCGAGTAAGGCTGAGTTAATAGGGTT